TCCCTCATTTGGATTCCCTGAACTATCCTTATTACAGTCTGTCATTCCCTTGGTGTTCTTTTTACTCTTTTAAAGATGGTACAGTGTTAGCTTATTTCTAGTCCTCTGGTACTTTGCCTGTCACCCATGATTCTGCAAATGCTGTTACCAGTGGCTTCAAGATTTCTTCTCTTGTTCCTTCAGCACCTGGGATGACTTTCATCCAAGTTTTAACAGCTCTCTGTGAATTTGACTTCACAGAATGAGTGAAAAGTAGGGCAGGAAGGTACCTCCAAATGTCATCCAGTCTAGCCCCCTGTCTCAGGCAGGATCATCCCTATCCAAGCCATCCCATACAAATCCTTTTCTAACTTGTTACTAAAACTACACAATCAATTATGTCTCACAATAAGTCATAGCACCCTAACCTGCCACAGGTAAAAGTAGGGAGACAACAGTGCTCAGTGTCTTGCTGCTACAAGAGATCCAAGGAAGAGGGTAAGCACCCCCTCACCACCCTCCCCTCAGCCCCTTGTTTAGGAGCAAGTCCATACAAATCTGACCATTGGGTAACATTCCTTCCTGATCCCAGATGTGGCAATAGATCTGACCCTGTGCAGTAAGGCAAGATTGGCTATCCAGAAACCTCTAGGATTTAGTCCCAGCAGGAGCACTGGCACAGGCCAGTCAAATCTTCAGCTTTGCCTGCAGCCAGCATGTTGCAGGGCACTCAGGTGCCTGCTACTAGAGGTAGTGTTATGAGCTCAGCTGCCAATCACCAGGGCAACACAGGTGCGGGGTTGCCATGACAACCGGTTTGGTCAGCTGACCGGAAGGGGGCAGGGCCTGGCCTTTATAAACAACACAGGCCGAGGCCAGAGCCAGTCGCCCTCTGGCCGCTGAGGAGGATGGAGCTCGAGAAAACCCTGATGGGGAGATACATTGAAGATGGCCAGGTTGGCTGAGAGTTCATGTTATAACCCAGGGGTTTTGTGTATGGTTTTAGTTGTTGTGATATTACACCGGAGGTTTGGGCGAGGCTGTAGGGGTGGAGGAGGCCTCAACAGGAGCCCCCCAGTAAGGCGGGGGTGCTCCGAGTGCCAGAGAGGGCGCTGCGTAGGGGTGTCCCGACCCCAGCCCCAGTGGGGGGACAGTATCGGGACAGGCCCGAGAAGGCGGGTCTGGGGGCCAGGTATCGGCTGAGGCCGCCTGAGCCCCAATGGGGAGAAGCCCCAGAGGGCCATGAGAAGCGTGGGACAGGCCCCAGAGAGGGCGACGGGCGCAGGAAGTGCAGGACAGGCCCGAGTGCGGGCGGGGGGTGCGAAAGGCGCGAGCAAGGCCCGAGTGCGGGCGGGGGGCGCGAGCATAGGCCTGGTTGGGGGCTGGAGCATGAGCGCGGAGAGACAGGCCCAGGGGGGGCAGTGTCGGCGCATGGAGAGGCCCCAGGAGGGGGCGGGCGAGCTGATTGAGGCCCCGGTGCGGTGGGGGTTGTGAGAGCAAGCAGGCAGGCAATTGGAGAGCACCCCGGTACAACAAATTGGGCACCGTGCCAGGGAGGGAGAAAGGCAGCCTCCCTACTAAACCAAACATCAAAGACGTGGTGGGCGAGTAATAGAGGGTGCAGGAAACAGGATCTGGCACGGTAGGCAGAGGGCGCTAGGGGAGGTCATGGCACTCCAGGCCCCGTTCTGCCACACAGCATCCAGTGCTTTTGAGGAAGTCAGCCGTCCCAGTCCCTGACACCTGTAGCAGTAGGAGGGGGGGAAAAATGATTTCCTGGCCTTGTGTTGTAAACAGCAAAGCTCGGAAGCATGGGACACACTAAACACCCTCCATTTTGATCTGCAATATGGGTACAGCAAACACAGCTCCACATATCACACCCTCTTACTGGACAGTCAGGATTCCTTTTTATATCCCCTTCATAAATTTATGCTAGCTGCTTTTAAACTTTCATAATTAAGGCAGTCAAGGAACTCTGTTTTATTCTCCTGCTCTCCAGTATTCTGCTTTAGGCTGCTCCTTATCTCCCAGCAATCTGTTAGAGGGGTTCCTGGGCTTCTAACTGTTGCTCTTTACAGAGCACTTCAAGTGTAATTACTCCTAGACCATCACTAACCAATGTTTACCCAACCTCTTCTTGAAAACCTCCATTGACGGAGATCCCACAAGTTCCCTAGTCAATCTGTTCCACCACTTCACTGTTCTAACAGTGAAGAAGTTTTTCCTGATATCCAAGTTAAACCTCCTTTGCTTCAACATCAAGCCTTTGATTTGTGTCCTGCTCTCTGCAGCAACTGGAAAAAATGTGTCCTCCCTTTTCTTTATGGCAGCCTGTCCGCTATCTGAAGACTGCTATTGCAGGCAAGGAGGAATGAAATCCTCATGGCCACATAGGTACAGATGGGCAGACAACCACTGACTTTGAGATACTGGTGCTAGTGGTGGTTACCAAGATGCAGGCCGGGAATGAATTAAAAATACCTGTCAGAGGGAAATAATCAAATCGAAGCTGGAGTTGCTATAAGAGTAGTGTTCTGACAGTGTCAGATCTATAGTTGGCACTTGGTAGGAGTTATGATGGAGGAGTGGGTAAAAAATTAGGTTGGAAGATAATCCCAGGCACAGAATGGCTTGAAAATCATACAGTCTCAGAACTGGGGAGAGGTGCAGGACCCAACCTGTATCGACCACACTGTTCATCAGAGCCAAAGAGAGTGAGCATTGGAAAGTAGGGAAGAAAGCATACCCTGCAGTTGGTTAAAATCATATGAGGTTTCCCCTGTGAAGTTTCTGGTGTAGAAGGGGGGTCATGACCTGATGCAGTATAAAAGAATGGAGATGAGACCCTTTTCTTACTCTTGGTATGTCAGGGCTTGTTGCCCCTTTCTTCATTGGCATGTTGGCAGGGTCCAGCTATCATGTGAGGCCACAGCTTCTGACTTCAAGCCTCTTCAAGATCCTGTGGCAAATCTGTAGGGCTGGAAACTCTCAGGCAGGGATGTCAGACACATGGTCTGTGGGCTGGATTTGGCCTGCAGAGCCCTATCATCTAGCTTACAGTTTTGCTTGTGAGTTTCAGACTGGCCCTGTGCACCATACGTAGTATCTGTTAGCCCTGATCCTACACCCCTTATGGGGTGCATGGAGCCAGTCTGGTGTATGCTGCATGGACAGGGTTGGAGGTGGGCAAGGTCAGTCCAGGGCACTGCTGCATCTGAGCCTGGTCTGTGGGCCTGATCCAGCCTGTGGACCAGCCCAGCAAACCACAGTTTGATACCCCTGTTCTAACATGGTTATCAGTGCCAGACAATATTGCTGGGACTCATTGAGTCTTGACTGTCAGCTTTGCAGGCTATAAGGGCTCAGAACCCTTCTGGATCCCACTGGAGCCCAGGTGCGGAGGGGAGTTAGTTATATGCTGATAAGTTTTGGGTGAGGTTGGTGACTGTCTGGACCTGGTTTGACTAGACATGTCCCTCTGGAATGCTGTGAGGACTTGTCTGGTCCTGTCTTAGCTGATGCTAAGGCTGACATAAATTGGTGCGTGGACCTGGCATTGAGCCCTTGGTGCTGCAAAGATGATCTCAGCTTTGGGTCTAAGATCACACCAAGGGACCTCTTCAGGAGGGAAGAGCCTCAGCTTCTTCTCAAGCCATTTGATCTTGGGTATGAAGGATTAGCATGGGGCAAAAGTCCAGCACTCAAGTCTGTTCCAAGTGAAAAAGACAACTTAAATGGCTTTTATAGCATTGAGATGATAGCATTAAAGAAGGGACAAAATGAAGTCCTGGTGATTTCTGGGAAGTGCAAGACAAAGACATGAGGGAATAACCTTCTACCTTCTAAAGAAGAGTAACTCTGAAGGGAGTCGAGCTCCAAAATGAGGATAGACACCATAATGGGAGTGCCTCGTGGCAGTGTTAAAACCAGTGGGTAGGGAAACATGAAAGCAACAAACCACAGCTATTGAGTTACAGGCTGGAGGAGAATTGCCAGCTTTTCTTCCTGGGACATGTAAGAGACTGAATAAAACTTAATGAAGGTATAAAAAATCCTCTATGATTTATGGAACCTGTCTAAGAAGTTGGGTGTCTGCTTCGGTTCGTTAGGCCTAAGGCCATTCAGAACTTCAACAGTGCTCCATATCAGACCAGCAGTTCAAGAGGCAAGGATAAGCAAGAAATGCAGACTGCCCCTTTATCCCCTTGGCATGGGACACATTGTTAAGGGATATAGTCTTTAATAGGGGGCACAGGATGAGAGACTTGTGGTTGTATAGACAGTTACTCACAGGAGAATTTTGCCTTTATGTTTATCTGAAAGCCAGTTGTGCCCAGAACCATTCTCAAATATTCATTTTATACTTGCTCAAATTGCAGAGCATCACCACCATCATCACCACTGTTTTGTTTTGTTTTTAGTATGTGTTGCCCTTAGAACTTCAGTTGTATTGAATCAGGTCCATGTTACTTCCTATCATCAGCAGTGACAGATCCTTCAGAGAAAGGTACAAGAACTGTAGGCAGATGTGGGATAATTTCCTCCTGCCCCGTCCCAAATCTTAGGAATCCTCATAGTCCTCTTTCTTAGAAATCAATTGAGAGCTGAGCCATGAGGATTAATATTAAATTTTTACAGCATCATGGACATTATTGATATTCTTGTTAACCATGTAAATATCTTGTTTGTTTTGGGATTTGGAAGATCTCTTTAGTTACTGACCAAGCTTTACTTGATTTGCTTTGAATCAGATGAGATTGTAACCTGAGATTAGTATTGATTTTTTTTTTTTAATTCCTAAATAGTGCAAATATCAGTCTGGGGTATGATACTAGGTCCAGCAATGATGGATATAATGGCAGTCACTTCCTCATCTATTTAACATTTATCCTTAATCATGAATAGGGATACTAATCTAAATGTTGTATCTTTTTTTCCAGTGTCCTGTTCTTATTCTAGCATGCAGCTTCCCTTCCCCCAACCACCCTTGTTTTTAATTTTATTTAATTTTATTGCAGTCTAACATCATTGGTTGGCTACGAAAAGCACTGGAGACGGACAGAAAGGATTGGATAAAAGAAACTGAGCCGGAAGCAGATCAAGATGGGTACTATCAGACTACACTCCCAGCCATAGTTTTCCAGGTATGAATCTAAAAGACATTCTGTTTTTTCTGGTGTACAGAAAACAAGAACAAAACAAGAAAACCAGGACAGGTACTTGCAATGCAGTCTTTCAGTGGAACAATCTGGAAATAGATTTTTCCCTGTATTTTGTCAGTATTGGATGGGTTCTCTTTTCTCATTATGGATTGTTTACTTACTTACATTTATGCTGAAATAGTGAACATTCAAAACATTTGAAAGTTTCATGGTTCAAAAATGAGATTATTAATCTCAAAAAAAGAAAAACCTCTGACCTTTTTATTATTCTTCGTAGTTTCTCCCTGAATTAATCCCATATTGATAATACTTTGGCTCCTCCTTCCTTTGCTATATGGTACCATTACAGGAAGGATGATTAAAAACTCACAATTTTCATTCTTTCTAAAGACAGCACTGAACTAATAGGATTTCTATCCATCTCTCCTATTTTCATTAGATGGGAACCTCCTTTTAAAAAAAAAAAAAAAAAAAAAGAAATTTTTT